ATCCAAAAGAATATAAATGAGAGAGACTACAAGCAACAACCTGGACAAATTGCTGCATTAAAACACTGCTTATACAATAACGCACTGAAAAATAAGAATACTATCATAAAGCACATTTTGCTTTTAATTATTTAGGATAACTTTAAATGCAGGACAATCAGTTCGTGGTGGTCTGAATACAAAAACAGCACCAGAGTTCAAACTGTTTTCTGAGCAGGGAAAGCTAGGCTGACGCTGCACCTTAATATAGGTGTAATTGGCAGGCCCATATTTTTGACCACCATTTACAAAGGCATCATTAAAAAAAAAGACATCCACAGCTGATGGGGGGATGGGAGATAAGCAGTGCCGGAAATGGAGGAGTCGACTGAAAGAGGCTGCGGCGGTATTAATTAAACAATGCCCATTTTAATCATAGCTAATTATATTTGCAGGCGAGGGTTGAGAGGAGTGAGGGGGCTGAGGGTGATTCTATCTGTCTGTGCTCATTAGTACGGTGGAGCTGTCTGATACAGCCTCTGTCATCAAATAATCAGCAATAAACATAATCTCTGTCGGAGGGAGGTGATACTGTTAAAACTGGTATAGTAAAGATCGACACCAGCACGTAAACACAGATGGTGACGGATCATCCACAGACAAACGTGAAAAAAAAAACAAAAAAAAAAAAAACAACAAAACCCTTACTGCTGCTTTCAATCTGGAGAAATATTCCATCAAACAACAAAAGAAGGGAATATAATAGTCTGGAGTAAGATGGGAATATATTTGAGCACGTTAGCAGCCTAACCACCTCCCCACTGGTTAAACTGTTAATTAATGTTGCACCCATTTATCAGTCAAACGGCTGCTAATTAGTCTTTTCAATCTCCTCTGCCTTGAACCATATTTTAAACTCTTCTCTTGCCCTCCTCCTTTGCCCTGTTAATAATCCAGCCGCCGTTCCCTTCCCTCTGTTTCTTTCTCTGCCTGTTATCTCGGCTCATCAGTGACCGTTTCCCATCTATAAACATTCAGGAGCTCAGATGTTGACCCTCGACTCCTGGCTGACCTGGAGGTCACCACCAAAAAAGGGACAGGGGTACTGAAGGGAAATCATCATGGTTGTGTCTTATCTCTCTGGTGGAAGAGGAGTGATTTAAAGGCAGAAAAATAAAGGGAGTCCTATAGGGAATAGTAGTTATGGGTGCTGGGCCCAAAATACAGGTCAGGAAGAGAACAGTGGGTGTGAGCGCTTCCCCATGTCAGGTATCTACCTCTGTTCCTGGCTTGGTGACAGTATGTGTGTGTATGTGTGTAGTAGTAGTTGTTGTACATGCTACATAGTGAGGACCAAAAAAAGTGCAAGGACATTTTTGGAAAGTGAGGACATTTTGGCTGATCCTCACCTCTGCAAAGGCCTGTTTTAGGGTTTAGACTTGGTTTTAGGGTTCAGGTTACAGTTAGGTTTAGGTCAGGGTAAAGGTAAGGGTTGGGGTTAGGCATTTAGTTGTGATGGTTAAGGTTAGGGTGGGGGGCTAGGGAATACTTTATGTCAATGAGGCTCTCTTATGTCAGTGAGGGTACAGATATAGAAATACAAGAATGTATGTGTGTGTGTGTGTGTGTGTGTGTGTGCTGACGTGTATAACTCACGTTGTAAGGACATAAAATTGTTAACACAATCACATTGTGGGGGCTCACCTTCCTTGTGGGGACAAAATTTAAAGGGATACTCTGCCAATTTCATTACATAACTAGAAAAGCACTCAGAGAGCGCAGACCTCCGCCAAGCAGCTCGGATTTCCCAGCATTTTATTATTTTATCCACTTCACTTCAACCGATGACCACCAAAATTTTATCATGTTCCTTGTTCCATTATCAACATTTCCTGAAAATTTCATCAAAATCCGTTCAGAATTTTTGAGTTATTTTGCAGACAAACAAACAGACAAACGCCGGCAAAAACATAACCTCCTTGGCGGAGGTAACAATTCATAACAACGTGGGTAGTATATGTGTAAGTGAACTGTCTATCTTACCAGAGGCCAGATTTTCCTGCTCATCTCTCAGTTCAAATCCAATGGGTGATGCTTTAACTAGATTGTACTTCAGCATTTTTGTGTGCCTGCCTCCAGAGATACAAAGAGAGTAGAGGCAGTTTAAGAGAGAGACCGTGCTCTATCAACCTCTAGAGTAAAGCTAGGCAATGTTGAAGCGTATTTTAGTGCACTGATTGGCTGTAATATGAGAACTTGTGAACGTACTGTTCCCTGTATTGTAAAAATGGAGATCGAATGATAAAACTAAGCAGTACTGTTTAAATATGAATAAAGTTTCTGCGTTGCCTATTTCTCGCCGAAGATGTCTTCAGAAACCTATTTTATCTTAACGTTTAACTGTAATTCGTGATTATCAGTCGCCCGCCATATTTTTTTCTGTGGAAAAACAGCCAAGCTCAAATTATGTCACCCACCAGCATGAGCGTTTATTGTGCTGCGTTCAAATTGAACTTGTGAGCTGGGAAGTTGTGTACACAAACTTGTGACCTCAGAGCTCTTCCATTCAAATTCCATGTACGAGGTCGGCGGTGGGGGCTGTTCATATGGACTTAGTCTGGGGTGGCGCAGTGCATTCTGGTAGTTTTAGGTTTTCTACATCTTGAGCAAAAGCAAAAGCCACAGTCCTTTTTCTATGTTTTCTCTCAGCACGTAGCAATTTTAAAAAGTATTTGCATCTTTCTTCTTCATACTGACGTAAATCATTCCATTTTGGGGTGAAGTCTTGGGTTAAGCGTGTGTGTGTGTGTGTGTGTGTGTGTGTGTGTGTGTGTGTGTGTGTGTGTGTGTGAGATGAGCCGAGGTGAGAACGCACTCCCAGCTGCAGTCCCATAGCCACCCCCTCTGTTACCTTCTGCCACAATCAGCCACTGCTCTAAAATCGGATTATGAAGTCCACCCAAAACCTCCTCACCTAAGCTCGGAAAGGACTGCGGTGTCTCTCTCGCCACACACACACACACACACACACACACACACAAAACAGGATTAGCATGCATGTTAAAACATAGTGGGGGAAATGTGGTGCACACAGCATCTGTGTTAATGAAATGTGAGAGGATCTTTATCAAGACAAGTAGGATGAAAATAATCATCTTCTAATAAGACACACTGGCAAATTGATTCAGTGTTTACAATTCTATTAAGGCAAAATGTTCTTCTTCTTTCAATTTAGTTTTAATGTACGGCAAGAATGGCTTTCAGCTAATTTATATATTAGTGTGCATGCATGTTTTGTAGTTTAAAGAAGTGTAACATGCAGATAAAGATACAGATTGGATATTAAATATGGTTCTGATTAAATGTGAAGACTAGGTTTTAGATTTAAAAAATACTAAGTTGCAGCAAAGTTGTGCATGGTCATGGTCTGGCTGTGAAATTATGACATTAAAGGAAATATTTAGGAGCTTTAAAGATGACTCCCATTACTTTCTCTCATGAGGAGACATCAGACCAGTAATGGACACAATAAAAGGTTTTCAATAAAACTGCAATGGATGGAGAATGAAGGGGGGGGGGGGGGAGAGAGAGAAAGAGAAATTGGAGAGACACAGGAGTAAAAAGCGAAAGATTTTTTTTTTTTTTTGCTCCCCCCGTCTGGTTTTCTATAAGAGGAACGAGAGGAGATAAGACTAAAAGGACTGTCACTCAGAGGAACAATCCTTCCAGTGTCCCCTCTTGCTCCTGCTGCTCCTCCCTCCTCCCTCTCTCTCTCTCCAATTTCCACAGATTCCTGCTGAGATAGAGTCGCTGTTCACAGGGACAGTTTGCTGACATCATCTGCTACATACTGAGTGTCCTGCACTCTCACTGTCCAGCCCCACAACACTGCTGTGATGGGATGGACACACACACACACACACACACACACACACACACACACACACACACACACACACACACACACACACACACACACACACACACACACAGAACACTCACAGACACACAGAGGCATAATCATTTCCACTCTGTGCAGTTCTCAATGACTGGCTCAATAATGGCACCATCAATCACCCACAACATGGACTGTCATTGTTATATTTCTCCTTCTGTTTCCTGTTTGTTTTTTCATTGTTCGCTCATTCAAACATGATGAATCCTACATTTAAAGAGAAAGAATTTAAATCGGATGCAGAATAAAAGACCATCATACAACAGTAGGTAATGTCCAGCTATAAATACGCCGATATGACTCATTTACTGCTTTCAAAATGATACACAAAAGGTACAAAATTAGCCAGAGATACATTTTCTTAATCTCTAAATCTTACACCACGTATTGATCATTGCTTTTGCAGACCAGTGTAATATGATTCAGTAGGCAGTTTCAAACTTTGCTGCTATAGTAGTAGGTTCACTTCTTATGGATATTAGTTACAGCTGGGTTTGTATATGTATCGAATTGATTCTGGGCAGAGTGTGACATCTGGAAATCTCATTTAAGAAATTATAAGGTAAAATGTGCCCATTATGGTGTACAGTATGGATGACAGCATAACAAACTAACCAGAGAGAAACGCTGGCTAGACACGCATTAAAGTTTAGAGTTCAGTGTGCATTTTGTGCAGAGGAACTACAAATAAAATATGTGGGTACAGTATCTGTTTTGACTACTGTACTAAACCATCGTAGGCACTGCATATATGTATATATACCTGTCTCACGACGGTCTAAACCCAGCTCACGTTCCCTATTAGTGGGTGAACAATCCAATGCACGAAGAGCCGACAGATTGAAGGATCAAAAAGCGATGTTGCTATGAACTTATCTCTGTGATAACTTTTCTGACACCTCCTGCTTAAAACCCAAAAAACTTAATAAAGTTTAAGTTCATAATAACGGATGAATTCAACTTGTTCTGAGTTCAGGACACAACTACTACACTCCACACACAGTATACACAACTATAATATTCTTATTGTATGCATTTAGGGCAGGACTAACGACAGAGAACAGAATTTCAGAGAAGGATTGCTTTATTTGTCTTTTTGAAAAGATCCACTTTCAATTCAACTTAAGCAACCTCTGGGGTACTTGCTATTCTTGGTGAATTGCAGCTCTACAAACTGCAATTAAAGTACAGTTATATGAAAAAGAAAAATATTGAAATATGGACAAATAATTTGGAAATCACACAACAGCCAGTGAAACCTGAAATATAACATGACCTTTAGCCCAGCAATAGAGCAAAACGCAGACAGTGAGTACAGAGATCTGTTGAAATCTTTGAGGTCAGTAACGCTGTAATGCTACAGTAGCTCGGGCTGCACAATATATTATATTTCTTTTCTTATTTTTTTTTTTTTAATCGATCACTGTGATGTCAGCTTGAGCTGTAAACACATCACAAAAAAACTGTGATATGGCACTCAGGGATTTTTCGAGTAGAAAACTGCACTTTAAAATGTAATTCATTCCTTTTTTATTGGTGGCTTTTGTGTTTAGTTCAATTTGTTTTAAAGATAAACTATCCAGGATTGTTGGTTATGGTTTGTAAACATGCTCACCAGAAAAAGTTAAAGTAAAAGCCAACCCCAGATTCACTCCCAAACACAGAAATTAAGAAGAAAATAAGAAAATACAGACTCAAACACCTCTAGTGGGTCATAAATGATGATTTAGAGGAATTACTTCTGTATGAGTCTACACATTTTTTATTTTTAAGGAAAATGCTGCATAGTATATCTTAAATAAAAGATTGTTGGGAATAATTTCCTTTCTTTTTTTTAATTCAACAAGCAATTGTATTTTAGAAGTATACTGAAAGCTGCAGAACACTGAATACACTTTAATATCTGTTTATTTATCACAAGTAGTTTTCAAAGTTTATGCACATTTAATATGCATATTGCATATTTTCCAGATATCATGCAGCCCTAATGCTAGCTGATGTGTGTACGCCAATCAAGGCTCCACTGAATTAGAAACATACTTGGAAAAAAAGTTTGCTGCAAGTCAAAAGAATTGGTTCAGACTGACGAATAAGAACAAAAGTACTGATTTTTTAAGACAACTCAAATGCATCAGGAACAGAAGAGCGTACTCCGCCCTTGTGATGTAGCAAACTGGATTAAGTCCATCTCCATAAAGGGAGATAAAAACAATCAGTGTTTCACATGCGTTCAGCATTCCACAGTCATTGCATTGCAGCAGACTGTCTCCATCAGTGGCTGATAGAAGAGAACGATCAGAGCCCTGATACAGAGGCTAGTATTCCCCTCACCTCAGCACAACCTCTGAAGCTGCCCTCTGCCTTTCTGAAGCGCTGTGACACACTGTCAGGCTGAAGGGTGAGCAACTAATGTCAAGACTGAACCATCTTTTTATGGGGATCAAAGACATACCGCTTGAAATGCAAGTGAATGCCAACAGGCTGAGAATCAGTTTTGGGCTCCTCTTCATTTGCTGGTCCACCTTTGCCTCCACCCTTCCCTTTCTTCTTAGAGGTGGAGGATAACAACTGCTTGGTTTCTGAGCTGAGACCCTCTGAAGAAAAGATAAACAGGCAGGTCACGTAAAAAGGATGATTATCTAAAACAACAATTGTTTAAATAGATCCTCTTGTGTAATAAATCTAGATTATACTGTCCTACACTACATACAGTAGTTAGGTCAACTTAATCATCTCAGTGTGGGTATATCTGATGCTTGATAGAAATCTATTCTTCCCTGTTATGTGTGCAGTAGGTGCTGGAGCCTGTTCAGTGTGCTGACCTCAAGATCAACTGATGCCTTCATCCTCCTGAAGTAACTGATGAAAATGTGTAGAGAACCAGGTCTCAGCTGCTCCTGCGTTAGTCTGGCTCACCCTGACACACTTCCTTCACTTTAGGCCTCGTTCTTAGCCACGCCAAGCTGTTTGCTGCAAACGCTGAGCTCCTGCACGCATTACAAATTCTTCTGTGCCATCATATCTACCCCCTTCTCTCTGTACGTGGCTGCTTGTTTGCAGTTTTGCGCACAGAAGGTAAGAAATGTTCTGGGTTCACTGCTTTACACGCTGGCTGCCTGACCTCACGTACAACGGCGCCAGCATTCTTCTTGTTATCGTTATGCCAATGTGAGGGTTGTTATGGTTGCAGCGCAGACAGAAATCTCTCTGTGTTATCTACGATCAGCTGAAAATGTCCGTTTACCACCACAGAACACACTCACACGCCCAGACTTAAATGATTTGTGTTCGCATATAAGCGACACACAGAAGTGATTTTTTACACATTTATACTAAAATTTCTAGGTATTTCTTTGCAGAAAATATATATAAATATCTACTATATAATAAAAATACTGCACAGGCTTAAAGGGAAATGGGACAGTCACTGAAGCATAAGAATCAAGATAAGTGCATGTGGAGCATTAATGATATGACTATTGGTGTACTCATCAGACAGGGTCCAAAATCAACACCCAATGAGCACCAAATATGGGAAGAAACTGGCAACTAACAAAATAGCGTTAGTTGCCAAGTTGGAAGCAAGTTTATTTTGGAGGAGCAGCGTAACATCAGGTTTAAAACATTGGGTTTTCGGTGCTTACACCAGATAAGAGTATGACCTAATGATATTGTGGCTATCCCCCTAAATTCATCAACAGAAGACTGTCAAACACACTCAAGCTTCTCAAATGTGCAGATTTGCTGCTTTTCTGTGTGTGTTTAATGTATATTTTGGGGTCAAACTGAACAAGGACTTTGATTGTATCACCTTAGACTTAAGGGAATTTTGATGCACATTCGTGGGCCAAACCCTTCCAGTTGAAGTTACATACCTAGAAATAATGCAGGTACGAGCGGAAAGAAATGAAAAGCACTGACCAGTGAAGGATGCATGAAAGCAAACACTCCTACACATTTTCATTCACTCTCTTCATCTTAAGAAAAGACAGTAAATGAAAGAGAAAGTCTGTGGAGCAAAAGGCAGTCAACAGAAACTCACAAAACTGAGAAGCAGGGCTGCACAATTATGTATTGTTTATTTATTGTCATTGTGAGGTCAACTTGCATGATAAAGTTTAACACATCACGAAAGACTGCGATGTTGCTCTCAGGGATTTCATTACTAAGTTGAAAGAGAGTATCAGAAGAAAACGGCATTTTAAAATGTATCTCTCATTCCTTTTTTGGTTATTGATGCTTTTTGTGTTCAGTTCATTGTTCAATTTGTTGCTGAAACAAAATTCAACAAGCAGTTTGTTGTATTTAAGTGTTATAGTGACAGCAGCAGAAAGGCAGAACTGAGCACACTTTAATATTTGTTTATTTATTGCAAGTAATTTTCAACAATGTTATCACATTTTCCTCAGATCATGCAGCCCTACGGACAAATAGCGACAAGCCATGCATCACCCAGCAGATCAAGATATATACATAGCTCTGGAGAACATGCGCATTTGTGCCATCATACAAATGTAAAGCTTGCAAAAAAGCGTTAAGGCCATGAAGTAAAACCTTAGAGTTAAAATGTCAGCAGTAAAAGGATAGTTACACCTAAACCTAACATGACATTGACACTAGTGTATTAGTGTTGCGAAAAAAAAAAAAAGATTTATCAGTACATACTGATTCTGAATATTTGCCTGGTTTGTATACTCATTGTCCTCAGTATTGATAGACTGGTACTAGCTGTACTTTCTCACTCTCTTATTGTTAACATTCACTACAGTCATTCTGCTTATGTCTGCTGCTAACAAAGCAGTCATATGACAGCCTCGTTATATTTATAATTCAATAAAAATGTCAAATTTTAAGCCCTCAATGTCCATTTTTCTCATGGTATTGAAAATGGTATTGGATATTGATATTTTTCAAGGTATTATATCGAATTTTTAAACTCCAGCATCATGATAACACTACAGTGTATTGATAAAGTACAGCAGGAGACCATGTGGCTGTATCAATTATTTGACCTACCCCTTTTCTTTCCTGCAGAATAGTTCCATCTTTGTCCTAATGCCTGCGGGCAGTCTCAGATGAACACCACTGGATGTTCATATTATGTTCATGCATGAAGATGTGTGCGTTAAGTATGTCTGAGACTTTTGAGTATGCGAGTGTGAGGCGGTGGAGAGGATGTAGGTGAGGTTCTCTTTCTAAATGTTTTTGTTTTCTCTTCCCTCCCGGTGTGGAGCAGTGGTTTCGGAGCAACAGAAGGTAAAATAAACACAGAACAGACTTCCCCCGGAACACAGGCAATCCCCAGAGGAATCCTGGGAATGTGGCTCAGGATGTCGGGCCTACCACTCTTACCGCATCCTGAAAACTGTCCACAGAGCCACAGCGTCCAGGGAAAGACAGAGAAAGTGCTCTGGTATTGATGAGCAGGGAGACTTGTCTATGTTACATTGTTAAAGACCACAGTGAGTTTGATGCATGTGACTCAGCCTCCATTAAACAGTATCAGTTGTGTGAGTTACTGGTGTGTGTAACTTCTCACCTCAGGTCATCCTTACCTTGTACTCGGATCTTGAACTTCCCGCTCTGTCCAAACCCACCCTCGATAACGCCAGTCTCGCCTGTCGACAGTGTGACCTTCAACCCCACAAAGAGCTGGAGGTTGGTCTCCTTCTTGAACAGGTTGCGGCCAATCACAGTGTAGTCGTCCGTCACCTAAACAAGAGACAGCTTTATGAGCTGCAGCACAAATGACAGATAAAACGAAAGCACAAAATGTGACACACGTGATTAGAAGTACTTGTTATATGGTGTGCAAGCATGAGATCTAATTATGACTGTGAAAATGTCAAGATGTGTTTTAGTTTGATCTCATTTTTCCATCCTTTGATTTCTAGATCTTGTGGTGTTGTCGTGACTTCACTCATCATGGCGGGGCGAGAAAGAAGAGCAGAATCTCTGTCCTTTGCCCTCATCAACTGTACCACTCGCCGTCAGCCACATTCTTCGAGGCTCGTCGCCTGGCTGTCTCGCACTCCCTCTTTCATCCTCCTGCACATTTTATGCTATATTTGTTTGTATTTCTTTCTTATCATCCATCACTAAGTCGATCTAACCCGCCACTAATCTGATAACATGAGGGCACCGCTCTGTCTCCAACTCATCCCCCCCACCGCCAGCTCTTCCTCTCTCTTCTGCCTAACCCTCATTCATTCTTGAACATTTGACCCTGACGTCCCTCAAGCGTGACTGATGCGCTGATAAAAAAAAAACACAGTTACTGTACACATCCGACAGACCGTATGAATTGTGACTGGACGAGGCCATCATATCTCAACAATGCCAGTAATGTGTTCTTTTACAAAAAGGAATTCTTACGTCTCGAAATATAACTGCCTCTCTCTAGGAGACAGATGAAGGACACATGTAACGTCACATGACCACGATCTGACCTCTCGCACATGCTGTTGTACTCCTGAGTCAGTGACTGGAGCTGTCAACAGCCTGAGGTGCTAACAGCAGGAAACTAGTTCACACACTTGACCCCTGACCTGAGTCTGACCCTGCAGGAGGGAGCACACAGAGAAACTTCACTGTACAGCGCAGAATGACAAGAGACAAAACATCTTTAGTGCACCCACAGATGAAAATACAAACTGAGGAGTCGCAGGGTGTTGACTTTTTAAAAAAAATAACTCAGATGAAGTCAATAAGAAAACAACAGCATATGATGAGATGTGGACGTAATGAACCAGAGGACAGAATGTAACAGTGTTAACTAGAAAAAAAATCAAAACGGCATGTGTGAGAGAGAGAGAAAGAAGCTGAGCCAGAGAGGAGCGAGGGAACTCACGCAGTCATGTGGGTATTCCTGTGCCTCTCAGGTGTGTCCAAACAGTGCCAGCCTCTGACAGATAGACAGGGCTAGTGGCGTCAGTTGGCCACCCACGCATGCCTCTGTGTCACAGCACATGCGAAGGCATGCATACCCACCATGCCTCAAACACTGATCACCAGGGCTGCATGTGCATGCTTGTTTGTGTGTGCATGTTTGTGACTGTACAATAGGGGCTCTGTCTGAGAGGCACGCTCCAGTGCCACCAGCAATGAGAAACATCCGAAGAAAATTCAGAGCCAGAAGGAGAACAAGGTGATAGAGAGGGCAGAGGAGCAAGGACAACACTCAAGGGTACACAGAGAGGATGAAAGTCAAAAAAGGACCATTTTAAATAAATGTGCTGAGTGTCCCACTCACCCTCTCCACCTGTCCCTCCTTGTGTTTTGTCTTGTAGATGCGCAGGCGAGGCAGGGCGGTCTCAGCATAGCTTTTATCTTCAAATCCCTGGAGCAGACGGCCTTGAAAGGCCAACCGGCATGCATTGGCGTGGATGTCTGTGTCCAGCTTGGAACCAATCACCAGGCAGAGTGAGGGGCACGTGACTGGTCGCTCAAACTCCAACAAGGCCCACTGCTCTGGGTCAGGTCCTGGATTCGCCTCCCCCTGACCAGTGACATATTCATCCTGGTAGAAGTACTCCCTCTCGAAGGTGAAGGGTGTGTCCAGCGAGCAGGGCTGTGATGGAGGTGGTTTAGCGTCTGAGGGGAGCTCTGAGGCACCCACAGGTGGCAGGCCAAAGAAGGTAACCCTCGCCATGACCGTCTCATGACCAACAGTGATGTGGAACTTGGCTCGGGTGGCAAGAGAGCCCTTGAAGTAGCCTATCTTCCTCACAGAGATGACAGCTGCATAGAGGGTGCGCAGGGACCCTGGGGTGCACACCACACCCCGCTCTAACAGTTTGGGGTCAAATTGTGTCACGCACACACCCACACGATCCCCCTGCATGGCCCCGGACACTGGCTTCCGAAACATCTGCACCGACTTTATCTTCTTGGTCACCTGACGGCAGAGACACAATAAATAACACAGGTCTCAGAAATCGAATTCATACATTTTTCAATTTAGTAAAATAAGTTAAACGAATAGTTTTGGAAAGTTTTGGAAAGTATGCAAATTCACAGTGTGTTTAAAAAAAGTTGAGAGCCCATCATGCTTTATCCATGCATGTGTTTTTAGTTGTTTTACTATTTTCAAAATTTTCTTCAGGTACAACGTAAAATTCACGACTAAAATTTAGAAACTAAACATAGAAAACAACACGATATGAAACAGAAAAAATATCAGATATTATCTCCACAGTACAGAGATGTTTTATAATATATTGCAGGGAAAAGGCCCTACAGATGACTTTTTTGTTGATAAAATATGCACATACTTAAGTACATGGTTCATTATGCACAACTTGCAGTTTAAGCTGCTTCTTTTTTTAAAAGATAAAAGTGTTATTTGTCAAAATATTACTCTTGCCAATTAATGGTAATGGTAAAGACCACTGATGATTAAATATATACACATACTGAGGCTTTTAAAAGTCTCTGCCAAGTACTGTATGTTATTTTTGAGAGAAAAGATAATATTTGGCACCAAAACATGACAATTTGGATACGTTTTTAAATACTATCAAGCTTTGATAAAAACTTAATTATAGCTAATGATGTGCTTTGTTTTTTTAACTATAAATCTCCAAACAAATCACAAGTATACAAATGACCAATTAAAAGATATCTATCTCACTACCTGTGATTGTGGGATCTGGTACACCACAATGTTTCTGTGGTTGTTTTTGTTGTTTGTTACACGCTGACCAAATCAACAGTAGTGGCACCAATCAAGGCTCCGTAATGACTGTTTATTTGGCCATTTGCTGCCACCAAGAGGAGAAAATGAAAACTGCAGACAAAACTGCTCAGCCTGGCTGAATACGTGCATCTGGTCTAAATTACTGAACTCCTGTGCTGCCAGTCCACCCCCAGTTCCCTCATCCTTCCCACACATTAAACTGACACATCCTCTGCACCCACTTGGACATCCCTCCCTCTGTCTGCCCGCTTCCAGTCAACTTCTGAACTTCCGAATCTCTGTGGTTCCTCTAAAAGAATTTCCAGCTCTTAGGTATGTTCCCTGCTTGTAAATATTAGAGATCTAGAATACCGTACCTTAAGCGCAGGGATTTCCACAGTGTCATTGATGGCCAGCGACCCCTGCAGGATGGTTCCAGTCATAACTGTTCCCTGACCGCGGATGGAGAAGCAATGGTCCACAGCCATCAGGAGGTCACCTGCGGGGTCTCTCTGAGGGAGGTACGTCTGTTTCTTCAAAAGCTGAGACAGACAACCAAAAGGGCAAGAAGGCAACACATTTATTTACTCACACAAAAGATAACTGCTGTCATAATAACGCAAGGTCACAAATACACAAACCAGATAAAAGAGAGGGACTAATTAGATCCATATCTTGCTGGTGCTAAGTCTGACTGTGTGGCAGCCTCACAAACACTGCCTAACACACACACTGACTCTGGTGTTATAAGTGCTGAGAGTCGTACTGAGGCTTTTCACACCCCAGGAAAAAATATAACCTCTTCAAATGCAGCATACTGTGTCAGGAGAGCTTGACAAGAGAGAAATTACAAAGTTATGTTTGCTGGACCAACTTCTTCAGCTGTTCTTCCCCCAGATTTTTCATTGTAAGCTTTTCTAATAACATCATCCGGTTGAATGGATTTTTGAGCAATGTACCAATGCTATTTTCAGCAAACACTTCATCTGTATTAGCCATAGTTGCTACTAGCTGGTCAAACAAGCTGGTAGGCAGCGGTCAAGTAGCCTTCGAGCTACTGCAGTGTTGCCAGGATGGTTTAAAAACATTATGATTAGCCAGAAATAATGTGAATGTTGGAAAAAAAACTCAAATTCACAACAGCTGCGACCATGTACAAGCATACGTACACATGTTCATGCATTCACACACACACACACACACACACACACGCACACACACACACACACACAGACACAACGTCACAAACAATTATATGCACCCCCACCCCAATCCCCCCTCAGCCAACTGCCACACACCATGACACATACACACCGTGTGACCTCCATGCCAAATTTCATCCTCCTAGGGCAAAAACTGTGGCTGCCAAAGGGTGAGGAAATGTTTGTGGACCAACAGCACAGCTAAAAATGAGAAAATCTTCCACACTGTGACAAACCAGTCCAAAATTTTGTCAACCCTCAAGCTCTTTTTTTTTTACCAAAATAATGCATCCTAAATCTGCCTAACTGGGTGGAAAAATCATAATTCCACAGAGAAAAGTATGCACTTAAACAAAGACTGAAGGCAGTACTTTTTCATTACTCATCACACATGTCTGTTATGATGTAAGATTTATTTTAGAGTAGCAACTGAAGAACTTTAAATACACACAACACTACAATATGGCTAAAATATGTATCTCACCATTGGAATTGCAGGAGGGGCATCGCCCGAGTATTCTTAATAACAGACCACACACCACTGGCTTGAAGTGTGTGTTTATGTACAACACATAGGATTATATGATGCTGTCATGTTAAAAGATTTTTTATCTTTTTATATATAGAGATCTGTCATAAATATCTACAAATATGTCTTAAATATGTTTGTATTTCTGAACTCATGCTTCTCCTGAATTCTTTGAATCATTATCTGCTCTGAGATAAACCACTTTCATTTTTTGTAGCACATCAAACAAGTAATACAGACTAATTAACAGCGTGCCAGTAACAACAGCCAATTTCACCCATTATCTGATGGACTTTGTTGTCTGAACAAAGACAGTATTCTGTTGTTAGTTTCAGTTGTGTGGTGAGTTAACTTGAACAATGTCAGCTGACTAACAGCACTTGTCCATAAGTGAGAGCTTATGCGCTCTTTTGAGCTAAATTAGTAACAATGGAGGGGGACCAGTGTGTTTTCGGACTTTACCTCTATTAACTCTGGCACTCCATGTGGCTCCTCTGTGTCAGGAGCCTCCGGGCCCCCAGGCTTCGCTGCCACAGCAATCACTGGACATTCCTTAAATCTGGCCGACAGAAAAAAACAGTCATACTGGAATCACTCCATGCTTTGATGTTGGAGTAATGATTAAAGTTACTCTGAATAAAAAACAAGTGGGTCTGACAGACAGACTGCTGGAATGCAGAGAGGGAGACAGAATGTGTAATGAATGAGGAAGTTTGATGAGAGATTCAACCCCGAGCCACTGGGAGTATACTGGATGCCCTAACCCACTTAGCAGTCTGGGCCCACATTTCCACATTTTCCTGATTCATACTTTTACTTGTAATAAATGCAGACCTGGTGTTCTCCAGAGTTTTGTGCAGCCTCTTGGTCATTTTCTCAATGGCACTCTGTCTCTTGTTGGGCGGCAGTAGGTCAGTTTTGTTCAGGACGACCACCATGCGAGGGCAGGTCAGCTCTCCTATCAGCAGACACTCTGCAGTTTGAGTCTGCACCCCCTTCACCACATCCACCACCAGCATCATCAGGTCAATGATTTGGGCACCTAGAGAAGGCAGATAATGCAAAATATATCTTACTGACATGGAAGAAAAGCAGCAAGCTAAAAGCACAAACAATATTTAACACAGATACCCAAAAATAACAGTAGAACAAGAAGAGAAATTAGAGGAGGGGTGCACAAAGGCAAAGAGAGAGTAAAAGGCTAGAGGGTTGAAACCGGAGCTGCAGCTCACTTGGTTGTCTTTCCTTTCCTTCTTTTCTTTCCTGACTTTGGCAGTCTCTCTTTCCTGTGTTCCCCTCTTTTCTCTCCTTCTATTTGGCTCCCTCTCTTTCCTGTGCTCTCCCCACTTGGGACAGGAGGGGAAGTTTAAAACATACCCCAATCCCAACACTTTCCTTCCTCCCTAATCTACAGCATGTGCCACTCCACTGGCTTATAGATTTCATTTTGGCTACACAACACAGCAGCATTCAGTGTTTGAGTGCCTCTAGCCTGCCATCCTGATGCAAGGTCATCACTTCTACCAAAGTCTGTGTATCTCACATTTTTAAAAACAGTCCTGGTTTTTCATTTGTGTGACAAATTGTTAGGACTAAAAGAGAATGTGGATAATAGAGACAGCGCCCCTCTGAGTACTTATTATTTGCTCTGGACACCACTGCAGTTATTTCTCCTCATACTCCCAACTATCCAAGGCAATATGACTTCACCAGTGTAGCTGATTGCAGAGAAAAGGCGCCCTCTGCTGGATAACTTAAATATGTGCGTGATAACGATGAGGATGTGTATAAGCAGCATCCTACGGTGACCATGACTGCAGTATTCAGACTGCAGTATAGTGTATCATCTTATTTTCTGCTATGATATGTTACTGACAAACTGGTACTAATATTATAGTACAGTCAACTTTGATATTGTTATAAATACACACCGGCACCAAGTAGTATTAGTGTTTGCATCAATATGTTAAGCTATATAATGGTAGAAGAGCTGCAACAATTCATGGATTAATCAGTTAGGTTGATAATTAATCACTTTAAGTAGTGTTTTTTTTACAGAACAAAATCAAATTTCTCTGATTCCAGCTTCTTAAATGTAAATATTTTCTGGTTTCTTTACTCCTCTAAGACAGTAAATTGAATATATTTGGGTTGTGGACACAACAATACATTAGAGGACGTCATCTTGGGCTTTGGGAAAAACTGACTGACATTTTGCACCACTGTTTTCCCCCTTTTTGCTACCTGATTCAAGTTGCTTAAAATCAAATGGCATGAACAGGGGACTTTATCCCTGGACCTTCAGATAAAAAGTGAGACACTCAGCTGACTGCTCTGCTTTTTTGGCAGTTGTGCAATTTTCCAATCTATGGCTGTTTTACATTTGAATGATGATGTGTGCCTGTAAATAAGGTTAAGAGACTCCATGCACTTTGGTGTCAGAGTCCTGGTATAATGCACACTATCAAACTGTCATGGCTTAATGAGACACTTGAATGAAATTGGATAATTATTAGCCTTATCAGGAGCACCTTTGCTTTCAGACTATGACAAGTCAGAAAGTCTGCTGTGATAAAGACCAATTTAAGAGGCATGTTTTTATCTTCAGTTGTACACACATAGCTGGCAAGGTTTTTTTGTATGTATTGCTAAATCTAATGTAATCTTATTCAACAGCCCTGCAGTAAATCCTAGCTTTGTGAAGGCTATGAAGTTCACTATAGTGAAAAGTATTTCTAATATTTAGTCTTGTAATACAAACTACAGCTTCTAAAATGACCACACTGTAAATGAACACCTCATAAAACAGTTTAATGAACTGGCTGTTGTGTTGGGCTGTATGCCTGTACTTAATACACTGGCAACTGAGTGAAGTTGGTAAGGCATGGCTGCTGTCGCCTGTGTATAGGTCAGCTGACCCTGACTGTATCCCATGTGTGTATCACCCTTTCATTCACTGTCATCAGCGACACTTTAGCACCATGACTTGCAGAGAATTCAGAGAGCTCACCCCCGATGATAGTCCGAATAAGAGAGGCATGTCCCGGACAATCCACCAGGGTGAACTGCAAGTTGTCATACTGCTGCTGGCCTCCACTGTCCCGCAGATGATCCGGAAGATCCACCGTGAAGGAGGAGAAGCCGAGGTCCAGCGTGATGCCTCTCTCACGGGACTGCGGGTTCTTGTCGAAGGCAGCGGTGGAGGCGGTGCTGCTCAGCGCCCTGGCGAGCGACGTCTTCCCGCTGTCGACATGTCCGAGCACCCCAATGTTGAAGTTCAACGTCTTGGTGCGACTGTCAGTAGACTCTGACATTTTGATAGTTAAATGTAATGCACGTTACTCGGAGCTGGACCTTGAACTCAACTTCAACGGAAGCATTAAACGGCGGTATTAACTGCCCACAGTCTTTCCGTTCGTTGCTTTTTAACCCCGAAACACCTCCAACAACAAGCTACTTTAATTGGTTTGAGACTTACAAAACAAATACAGTTATAAACGAGACTTTAACGTTACTTTAGCATGAAAACAGTTGAGAGAAACGTCATCCTTGCTGTCAGTGCAGTCCATCCTCAGGACAACATGGTAAAGCGGAACGTGTTTTAGCAGCTAACAAAAGTAAAACGAGGAAAACTGACCTGACATAGTCGCTCTTTGACTAAAACGTGTCTGTAAAGCGTCGAAGAGACGATTAAACCCCTTCAGCTTTTAAGTTCCGTATTCATATGAGACTCTGGTGTTCACTTTGACAAGTTTCTAGCAGTTTCTACTACGACAAAGCAACTGAAACACAACCGGAAATGAATACGTTCATGGGCGGGGTTTTGAGTGTTTCAAATGATTGACAGGAACTCTATCCAATCAATGCGTCACATCAGTCGACAGGATCCAATAGTTTTTTTAGCTAGACAAAATGGGCGGGGCTTAAGGGTATCACTTCCGCTGATTTTCCCTAGTTACCCACATGGAAACCGATTTCCCTGTGTTTTGAGTTTCGGCGCCGATTGCGGCGGTGAGAAGTTATCTGAGGCACAAGAGGCATTTTCCTCACCGTAAACGCACCTTGTGGTTTTTACATCACACATTTGTAAAGCAACGGTAACTATGAAGATCGAGGAGGTAAAAAGCACCACGAAAACTCAGCGGATCGCCTCTCACAGTCATGTCAAAGGACTCGGGCTAGACGAGGCCGGGAATGCTAAACAGTCAGCATGTGGTCTTGTCGGCCAGGAGGCTGCAAGAGAGGTAATATTTATGTTTCACTGCATTCATGTTGTTCTTGTATTGTGTTGAGGGGTGACTTTTGAGAGCTGAGGATTTTTCGCAGGCATTATTTTACTCGGTCAGTAAACGGTCAGGTGCACCTACAAGCTAGCTCAGTTAGCACTGTGGTGTCGCTGTTTCATACTCAGGTCAGAGGTGAGCTAACGGGAAAGTCAGCCCTCAATAGAAGTCACGTTCATTCATTATTTAAAACGTTCGATTTGTATATTTTAAGTTAACCAGTCTCCTCTACAGCTGAACAGCAAAGAGACTTAATGTTTTGATAAACGTAGAAACAAATAGATGTACATGTTCTCAGTCTAGTGGAGAACAGGTATTCATATAAAATCAATCAAGATGAAAAGAAAACTAAAAGTAAATGTGTCCACCACAGACTGACAATGGACCAGCTTCAAAAATCATCAGCAGATATGGACATGTAGTCATGATGCTCTGACTTCCAGACTAAGGAAACACTTGACTGTTTAAGGGATACATCACTGACTAAGAGACTGACAATAAGAGATTGGACAGGGGTGAAATTGCACCATGGGGACATTGCAGACACTTGGGGATATATTAATTTAAAGCCATCACACCTGCCTTAAGATCACTTCTGCACAGAATTGGATTTTTTGCCAACTTATTTGTTTGCTTGATTTTAGTGGTCTCTTCTGAAGTGGAGATAACATCATATTATGTATGAATACTCTTATCATTATGACCCACCAGCAGACGGAGACATGAAAGTATTTAAATGTATGTATGTATGGGCCAGCCTCGACTTTTAGGGGCAGCAGTAGCTCAGTCCATAGGGACTTGGGTTGGGAACCTGTTCAAGTCCCTGTCCAGAACAAATACGGAGCGTGCCAGTTCACCTCCCGGGCACTGCCGAGGTGCCCTTGAGCAAGGCACCAAACCCCCCAACCACTCGGGCGGCTGACCAAGGCAGCTCCCTCACTCTGACATCTCTCCACTTTGTGCATGTATAGGTCCTGTTTGTGCATGTGTGTGTGTCTTTCAGACCTGTGTGTTAATGACAAAAGAGTGAAACAGTTGAATTTTCCCTCAGGGGGATTAATAAAGTATATAAAATTTAAAAAAAAAAAAAAATTAAATTGAAATTAATATTCATTCACTATGCAAAATAAGAAAAAGCATGTTGGTCAATTCCAATAGTTCACTTTAAAGCCAATATTGGCTTATCAACATTTTTCACTATTATCTGACTTTTGATAGACCAAACAACTAATCAGTTAATTAGGGAACAACAGACAGATTAATAAACAGTGAAAATAATCATTAGTTGTAGCCTTATCCCACAACCAGCTACTTGTATTGCAAGTCCAGTGTGTAGGATTTCATGGAACTTAAGGGTGAGTTTGCAGATTGCAACCAACTGAGTAACTCTCCACACAAAAAAAACACAAAAAAACCCTCTCTGTTTGATTTGTCCATTTTGGGCTTATGTAGAAACATGGTGGACACCGTGGAAGAGGACCCACTCTCTATGTAGATCTAATCAGCTCATTCTAAGTTAAGGAAAACACAATGATTTCATTTCAGGTGATTATACACTAAATAAAAACATAGTTATGAATATTATATTCAGTTTCTGCCAGTAGATCCCCTAATTCCTACAAACTGGTCCCTCAAATCCTGTTGACATTTTACCATTGCATGTCAGTATATAATGGTAATCATTTTTTCACTCTCCAGGCTTGTGGCATCATAGTCGAGCTGATCCGCTCAAAGAAGATGGCAGGAAGGGCGGTGTTACTGGCAGGGCCACCCGGCACAGGAAAGGTAAGCGTTCATACACTCGCAAGATAGCGGTAAAACTTACTTGAACGAGGCCACCGTGTTTGCTGCAGATTGTGACTCTTTTCTACATGTTCCTCCAGACTGCCCTCGCCTTGGCTGTAGCACAGGAGCTGGGAAACAAGGTGCCTTTCTGCCCCATGGTTGGCAGTGAAGTCTACTCATCTGAGATTAAAAAAACAGAAGTGTTGATGGAGAACTTCAGAAGGGCCATCGGTGAGTGTCACCTAAATATGATTTGGCTTCTTGGCCATAGTTCTGCTCGCAAAACAATTCACTGTATCTCAGACAGTTGTAAACTGTCATGACTGGGTACACACAAGTGCCATTGTTAAATACTGCCAAACAGTTAATTCAAAAGGAAAGTAACACCAACAGAAAGCAAATATTAAAATGACGGAAAATGCAGATTTAAAAAAAAAAAATCACATCATCACCAGACTTTGTACTGAGAAGTTATAAAGAAAAAAGGTCTCAGTGAAAAACACAGCGAGGTCTGTAGATTATCCTGACTGAAAATTACATTGTTTCTTGAAAAAACATGAAACCACATCCGTCCACTTCAGTTGTGTCAGGTCAGACTAGATACCGCTCAAGCTAAATCAGAAGAATAAACATTTTTAGTTTCTTTGCCCTTGGTGTAAAAGGACCTTATGTGTTCACAAACTCCCTCAGTGAGGAGTCCTTGAGCAGGAAGAGTGAGGTGTCCTGCATGCACTGTTCTCATGAGCTGAAAGGCAACACTTGACAGCGGATTCATGTGAATGATGTTGAGAAGGAAGAAAGGCTGGAGAGGGGGAAGGGGTTTGCCTGACTGCTGATGGCACCTGTCACAGAGAAGGAAGTAGAGCTTAGGTAGAGGGAGAGGTGGTCATCAGCACCTTGCTCCTCCCCTAGAACAGGATCTCTGGGTGGGAGGGGGGGCTTCATTTTGAAGTTGTCATCACTCTGCCGATAAGAGCGAGCAGTGACAGACAGTCCCTGCCTTAAGCTTTGCTGTCTGACCCTCACCACAGCGGATCAGCCACCTGCGTGCTGCTCATACTCGCTGCCACCGGCCGCATGAAAGAGGAACAGGAGTGTGATCATGTTACACAAGACGATGGCCACACATTTCATGGGCACGAGCACACGTGTTCCCCCTCTGTAATAAAACGCATTGTTCAGTAGACTGAAGAATGCGGCGGCTTAGTTGATACAGGAATATAAAGGCCCGATTGAGTTCTCACTCTGCACTGTGTGACTGTAATGTCGCCCACATTCAGGACTGCGTATCAAAGAAACAAAGGAGGTGTATGAAGGGGAGGTGACAGAGCTGACCCCCTGTGAGACGGAGAATCCAATGGGTGGCTACGGAAAAACCATCAGCCACGTCATCATCGGTCTGAAGACGGGCAAAGGCACGAAGCAGCTCAAGGTCAGACTGAGAGCCAGAATCTTTTTTTTTTCTATCCACCTGTCCTATATGGTTTATACTTGTCCTACTGCTGCTTGCAAAGCATCATGAGCTACGTTGCACGTATAACGGTAAATGAGTTGATGGGAACTGTGGTAGTTTATGAAGAATCAACTCCTGAAGGTACTTTGCATATCTAGAATATTTATATGGTTCTCTTTACAAAAAGAAATCATTGGTATCTTGCATCCTGGTTGAATGGCTACACTAGTGATTATTTTCATTGTCAATTATTTTCTAAATGGGTTAATAATTTGGTCTATAAAAATTCAGAAAATGGTGAAAAATGTTGATCAGTGTTCCCCAACACCCAAGATCACATTCTCAAATGTCTTGCTTTGTCCCCAATTCAAAGATATTCACTTAACTGTCACAGAGGAGTAAAGAAACCAGAAAAATCATATTTAAGAAGCTGAAATCAGAGAATTTTTGCTTTTTTCCCTTTAAAATATTATTATATCTGATTAATTCATTATCAAATTAATTAGCAATTACTTTAATAGTTAACTAATTTGTCACATGATTAATCGTTGCAGCTCTTGTCGAGATGTGATTTCTTTTCTTTTTACTGGCAAAACTCTTCAGATGTTCAAGTCTCAAGTATAATGTGCTGCGATAACACTGATGAATAAGGTTAGGACAAGTGTCTAACTCAAAAATCTCTTGTCTTGTTTCCTCAGCTGGACCCCAGTATTTATGAGAGTCTACAGAAAGAGCGTGTGGAAGTGGGAGATGTCATCTACATTGAAGCCAACAGTGGAGCTGTGAAGGTATCACTATATTACTCTCATGTGTTACTCCCTTACAGCTGTCACAAATTATGATCCTCCTATCAGAGCAGAGAAAGATGTACATACTGGACTTTAATCCACCAAATAGTTTGAAATATTTTAAATAGAAAGCCTAAGAAGTATTTGGTTCGACCAAAGTTCAGGGATCTCTGTCTGTCCTGTCCTCTTCAGTCCTTCATGGTTGCGTTCTTTCATCTCTTTCAGCTCTGCTGCATTTCTACTGTACCCTGGAATGAGCCTCTCTCATTCCTGCAGCTCTCTTTATCTCTCCATCTCCCACAATGCCTCTTTTCCAGCAGTGGGGCTTGTGGCCTGTGTTGACAGGCCACAATGATGGTTCCTTTAATCGGCGCAGGTGGGCCAGGGACGCGGGTCGGCTCAACCCAGAGACCTGGAGGAGGGCTGGATGACACATTTGTTACTGTTGACAGCCTCATTTTGACCTGCCCTCTGAAACTCTTTCATCCCTCAGCCACATGCCCTCCTCTCTGCGATGGGCTGGCACTGGGTTCAATCATACACCTGCTCTCCCTCCTCCCCTCCTGCTTTGTCTTTTGTTTCACTGTGTTCCAGAGCAACGAGAGATTTTTGTTTAATGCTGGGTGCATATTTAAATGATTCTTATATTAACAGTTTGGTGTGCTGTGTCTTTGCAGAGACAAGGTCGCTGCGACACTTTTGCTACAGAGTTTGACCTGGAGGCAGAGGAGTATGTGCCACTGCCCAAAGGTGATGTCCACAAAAAGAAGGAGATAGTCCAAGACGTCACACTGCATGACCTGGATGTTGCCAATGCCAGACCCCAGGTATATAACTAGCTGCAAATGTCCTGTAAATGAATATCTTTCAAAATAGATTGCCAGTGTGTAGAATAATTTACTCATTTTTTGATCTCAGGGAGGCCAGGACATTCTCTCCATGATGGGACAACTGATGAAGCCCAAAAAGACAGAAATCACAGGTAGAGAAAATGTGACAACTTCCCAGCTCACATCACCACCTGCCTTCAGCACTATGTGGCTTTTATTGTTCATCCATCCCTATTTTCTCACCTAATTTAGATAAGCTGCGAGCTGAGATCAACAAAGTGGTGAACCGCTACATTGACCAAGGCGTAGCTGAGCTTGTACCCGGTGTGCTGTTTGTGGATGAGGTGCACATGCTGGATATCGAATGCTTCACATATCTCCATCGAGCGCTCGAGAGCACCATCGCCCCCATCGTTGTGTTCGCCTCCAACAGGGGAAACTGTTTAATCAGGTAAAAAAAAAAAAAGTCAAAATTCACCAGAGAGGAGCAATTTTCTCACTAAGATTGACAATCACTTTTTGCTCACCAGGGGGACAGAGGACATCAGCTCTCCACATGGGATCCCTCTGGACTTGCTGGATAGAGTCATGATAATCCGCACCATGTTGTACACACCACAGGAGATGAAGCAGGTGAGTCTTAGCGCCAAAGTAGCTGCGTGTGTGATGTGTGCCATCTGTGCAGGTGTCACTAATGACTTTGTGGTTTGCAGATCATCAAGATTCGTGCTCAGACTGAGGGGATCAATATCAGCGAGGAAGCTCTTACACACCTGGCAGAGATCGGCACCAAGACAACGCTTAGGTAAGATTAAACATTGTGAATCGCTGACCATAAAATATTCCAGTTTTTGCCCTTATTCTGAAAAAGACAATTTTTCAATCTGTTTACATGGCTAATAATGACTAAAATGACCATTCCACTCATACACCAGTTTATATACAGCCATGCAGGCTCAGATTAGCGTGCCCTAACGTTGTTTATCACGTCAGTATACATTTTAAAAAGTGGAATAGCCGAGGAGGACGCTTGTGCCATTTCTGGAGTTTTCCATTGATGGCTGACATGTTTAGCATTGCAAACATAGCCTTCCTCTTCCTTCAGACACCTTTTTGAAAAGGTTGGCATTGCTATATTTTTGCATAGCCAAAGGCCACTTGATGTCCAACTTTTCCGTAATGTCCAAAAGTAGGTGTGTTTTTTTCTTGGGATGAGAAATGTTGGCTTTTCTTTAGGGCATGCACTTCTACCCTACAGCCTTGCAAACTGTTGGCTAGTTGGTTTTTGTTCAAAGCATCCATGACAACGCACAGAGCTGACTGTAAACAGGCAGGAGGTCATGCGATGCAAACTGCTGTAAAACCCTGATTGAGATTCATAGTCCAAATGCAAAGAATGATCCTAAAACCATAATAATACCAACATATCCCACATCCTGAATGGAAAATGCTACAATTTGAAAAAAGGCTGTTGTCATATTGGGAACAATGATGGAATATTAGTGAGCATGTAAATGCTGTCACTGAATAAAGTCGAGGAAGAAGCAGCTGTACATTAAGTGTCCACAGTGGTCCAGTTTGTCCATAGATACGATTTTTAACACCTGAACAACAATGTCATTATCACAAAATATCATCTATTTAAGGTAAACTTTCAAGAGGAAATGTACAGTGAACAGAAATATAATTAGGACCTGCAGCTCCTCTTACTCTGCTCTATATTGTAAATTGCCTCATACTGTATACGTGTGAATTTACAGAGTGTCTCCTACTTCCTGTTTCCTCTCAGGTACGCCGTACAGCTGCTGACACCAGCCAGCCTGCTGGGCCGCGTTCAGGGAAAAGAGAGCGTGGAGAGGGAGCAGGTAGAGGAAATCAACGAGCTGTTCTACGACGCCAAGTCCTCCGCCAAAATCCTCCAAGATCAGCATCATAAGTTTATGAAATAAAACTTTTCCACTAGATTTCCACTTTTTTCTGTCTCAACTCGCACAGCTGGTGTTCTCAGCCAGCTGTTACATGGTTCACTTTGATTCTCCATCATTTCTATATGCTTTATTTGCATATTTCCATCTTTACCCTCTGCACCACGGCACGTTGTGGTGTTCCTCCCCTTTATCTACTGTAGTAGTTTTGTTCTAATAAAGTTTTATTCTTTTTGTTTGTTGATGAAAATAATTTTTTGAATAAAAAGCAAAAACACAATTTAACCAGTTTTCTTGGCTTGTTTATTATTCATTCTGACATTTAACATATTACTGGCAGTTCTTACAATAAAACACAGGATGCATGAGACAGAATGTATTGCAAAAAATTTCCAAAAGATTTCAACTTATTTTTAATGTCAACATGTATTTTCTTGCCAGTCTATTGTGCGATAGGCCTTTTTCATCAAGGCTTTTCAAAAGAGGGGACACGCTCTTCGACCCTATGGGAGCTTTGGGGTATGACACATGCATGGTGTAACTGGAGCTGTGATGTTGGAGGGTTACAGCAGATGGCGCTATGAATAGAGGGATGGTGTCTGCTCACTTTGGTGAGCTATTTTTATTTTTAGCCCATTTGAATGTGTTTGGCCCAACAGAGCTTTTTGGATGCACTCATGGATGGCAGCTGATATACAGTAGAACATTTTTATATAGAAAGGATCTGCTTTGGTCTTCTATTAAGGTTCCTTTCAATACTTGCAAGATTCTAATTCTGACCTATATCTTTCCAAATGTATGTCGGATTGCAGACGCCACAATGAAAAGTATCAATCATCCTCATGTTCTATGATAGTGTGCCAGCTAATGAGCCTTTTGAAAAGTGCAGAACAGATTTTACTGCACATGTTGTACCCCAGTAACATGAGGCAATGTGGTGCTGTGACTTCTCTTTTTAACCTCCTTGTCTTTTACAGAAGATATTTTGTCTTGTCACAGCAGGAAAAGCACAGGTGTAATTAATAAAATTAACGATGGCTTAATTCCATTTAGCTGCTTAGTTCAGGATGCTGGTATTGTGCATGCTGGCTCACTCGGTGTTTCTCAAAGTCCATGGAAGGATCCTCCAGAGGCAAGGCGAGAGTCCTTGTCCTAGCATTCAATGAACACACATTGGAACAGGCTAACAAGTGTCCCTAGGTGTACGACATTAACCCTCAGCAGACTGAGGAGGTTTCAGTTACTGTGATCATTTTAGCGCTCTAATGTTGTTGTAAAATTTGAACAAATGTAGCAGTATTTTCAGAGTCATATGACTTCTAGGGAGAATATATTTCTGGATTATAAAAAAAAAAAACAGGTAGGCTAAATGAAACTTGTGGCACTTAACGCTCTATCACTGCTGTAAATGACTGCTTTAAACACTTATGTTTTATCTAAATCACGTTATTTTAAAATTCTCATTATTCTGCAGTGGACACATTGTAAATTATGAGGTTTCTGTCAATATTTGTTCACGCTTGTATGATAAAAACTCCTGTAGACATTAATCCAAATAAATGACATGTTTATCTAAAGTTTCATTAAAGAGGCCCCGCCTTCACTTCCAGCAAATCATACACAAAGAACTGTGGGTATTTTATACCCGCAGAGGATACACACATTCATCCTTGAAAATGTTCTGAATTAAGGACTCTGTCCTCGGTAGAATAGAGAAACACCCACTGTTACTGGAACAGAATGGCGTCATGGATACTTGGATGAACTACTGAAAGGGCCTACTAGGCCCGGGTTCAGGGGCCAAAAGTGGTAGCATGCATGTTTGCGTGTCTTGCTCCTATGTTGTAGAGGTGGTGGGGCCTTTTGCATATCTGTGCCCAGGGGCTCATTCTCTCAAAATCCACCCATGCATGGTTAATACCATTAGTAACACCTGTGCTTTTCCTACTATGACAAGTCAAAATGTCTGCTGTGAAAAAGGCCTAAGGTTTCAGTTGTATTGCTCTAATGTTCCTTCATTATCACCCTGCAACCTGAAAAAGTGGGTGAATGCTGGTGTGACAGAAACTGCAACAATGGTTGAATGAACAAAATTATGTATTTCAGAAATAAAAAACTGGCTTACCAGTACGTAGAAATTCTTCTGTTTAAGGAAGGTAATTATCAACTTAATAAAAGTGCAAAAACATATCATAACCAGACAAAACCGAGTGCAAAAACACAAGCTTGAGAGCACACAAACAGCTGGAGAACAACTAATCCCAAGCCCTTAACGTGGAACAGGTGCTGTCCAAGCATAGTGAGGAAGTCCACTGTTACTTCCTGATAGGTCGAGCTGAGCGTGTGTTGAAAACAGTCTCCCCTCCTGACCTCACTCCGCTGAACACAGAGGGAGCAGTTTTGCCCATTTTCTCTGTGAGGAAAGAGAAACAACAAACAGAATATTTCACTGTTAATGAGGCAGTAAGGAGAGTTATGGGATATGATGGATATGCTCTATATATGTACACAGACGGGGTGAGAGTGCAGACTGACAGGAGTCCCCCATTATTACAACCCTCCTTCTCTCTCTGTATATGGAGTGGAAACTTGAGCATCAGGATGAAACGCCCCTCACACAAACTCACTGCCATAATGTGATCTTAGCTTAATCAGATGGATGAAACAAAAGGCTGCTTCCTTCCAGTTTGATCTGTGAGTATCAAAGCATATTTCCATGTTTGTTTGTGTGTGTCCTCACCACACTCCTCCATTACTTGAAGCGTCTTGCTCTTCGCTGGCCCACTTCTTCCCAGTTTGTTCTTTGCTTCAGTCAGGTCCTCTTCGCTCACCTCAGGACGCTGCATTTGTTCATCTTCCTCCTGACCCGGCTGAGAGGTCGTTAAAAGAAATAAGTTACAACACACATCAGTGACTTCTGGGTCTCCTTGTTTGCAGAAAGTCTCGTCAAAACTCACCTGAGACATGTTGTTTGAGCAGTTGAAGATATGCTGTGAGTAAATCTCCTCTCTGTCAGCTGTCTCTCTCTCTCTCTCTCCAGCCCAACACACACTCGCATTTATATACACAACCAGTGATTCTCCAGTGGACAATAAATCTGTTCTTGAGACTCATAAATGATGTAACGAGTGTGCACGCTCCTCCTCTTTTCTGTCTCTCTGTCTCTGGTTTTTCTCATGGTCTGTCCTCCCTGCTGCTTCATTAGGAGATGATGAGGTCACTGCTTCAACTTGTGGCATTACATTTCCCCAAATATATCCCAGAGATGTAAGAATATGACAAATGTCTCTCACTGTATCCTCCCCTTTTTTCCTGCAGCCAATCAACACTTTATAACAGCTCTGATAATAAGCAAGCCAGAGAACTGGACTCAGAGTTCAAAAGTTATGACTCAAAAGATAAGAAGCTGTGTATCAAACTTCCCAACAAACTTTATACCAAGCCTGACCAAGCTTATAAATAACAGAGGAGAATGAGCTTCACCCTGCTGTGAAAGAATGCTGTTCCCATCTCTTCCTGCTCATTTTCCATGATTACATCACTATTCAGCCCTCAGGGACCCTAAATGCAGCGGTGATTAGTGCAGACGAAGGACAAACAACAAGAAAGTGTTGCCAAGCAACATGTCAAATTATTGCTGACCTCAAACCTAATTTGCTCCCAAAAATATGAGATAAGTATAGCACTGGTGCAAACAGTGTACAAACCCATGCTCTAGGAAGTGTTTGCTTTCTAATAATATATACATTTGAAGAGAAAAAACAAGAAGAGACAAACATAAAAGAGACGCACCATTATACCATAAGCTTCTTTATCATGTAAACACCAAATTCCTTAAAGTGTATCTCATAAGATAAAGTACATGAACAAGCTAATGTTCCAAATCCAAACCAGTTTTCATAAACAAATTACAACCGTGATTGTCTTATTACTGAAAATTTAAATGGATCAGATTGAATCAAATGCACCTTGAGCAAGTGCCAGTATTTACACAGCATTAACTTGAACAAGTATTTATAATTGAAGATGTGTCATGTTGTCATATGTGACGAAGTACAACTCTATATTCAGTTTTTACTGAAATATGTTACTTAAAGGTCCAGTGTGCAGGATTTATCTATTGGCAAAAATGGTATACAATATTTATGACTATGTTTTCATTAGTTTATGATCACCTGAAAATAAGAATCATTGTGCTTTTCGTTTCCTTTGAATACGCCATTTATATCCTCCTGAGACCCGAACCTTTGTTTAATATGCATTTTTAATTTCTCCTAGCTATTTTTGAGTAATAGCATCTGATAAGTATAAAAAAACACAACATTGTCAACAATATTTAAGTCCCAATGTCCTCAAACAAGACAATAACAAAGTCCCAGTGTCCATCAATGAGCTGATGATAAATTCCCCAATGTCTTCAAACGAGTACTTTCTAATTAACATTGCTAAAATTGGCAATGTTTGTATACCATATCAAACTATAAATGTTATTAATCATAAATGAACAAGTTTCAACCATTAAATGTGATCAGGTTTTGAACCTTGTCCACATTTGTGTCGAGATCAGCTGCAGACTGACTTGGCAGAGATGGCTGCCATCTTGTTTTTACATGGATTAGTTTATTGTGCTCTTAGTACAACTAGATGGCGAAAAAAAGTGTCCACGAACGAGGACAACCGGACTAAGTTAAGCAGAATGAGGTTTAAGAATGAAGTAATATGAGGACACAGGGTCTCAGGAGGATATCTACAAAGAAGACTGTCCTCTTATTCTTTTTTTCATTAATCTAACAATAAGATCACACATGGGTTGTTTTATCGTGGAGGACAAACAACTCCTGTCACAAATTCAACTGTTTTCTTAAAATAAATTTATTTCTTTGACGGCCACAGTTAGATCCCTGAACAGTCATGACGTGTTTGTTCATACTTACATGAGCAAACACAGGAATGATCCAGTACAAAACATATCAGCATCATACACACACATATTCACACACACACACACACACACACACACACACACACACACACGTCAGGTCTGTTTTTAAAAGTTGTGCCCTCGTTGCTTTCACACAGTCAGTAACTGTCGATCACCACCTCTTGTTAGAACATTTGTAGTAAACCAGACGTTTTCCTTCAGTCCAGTACATCCACTTCCAGTTTGATTTAAGTGCGTTTCTTTCTGTACTGGGGCAAGAGCTGAGTCCTCACAAATTGAATGAGCCGAGTCTCTGTGAGAAGAACAGCCGCTAACACACCAAGCAGACACACTCCTCCTACACCGATATGGACCAGCCTGAACAACCAGCCGTGGTCACAGCAGAACACACCCTGCAAACAATAAACAAGATCACGTTAGGGCCACTGATGTGCTCAAGATTCAGTTAAGATCACACAGAATAAAACTACAATGAGGGGAATGAAAAGACTTTTGCACCTCAGACAGCGCTGTGACAACAGCACTGACAGCAAGTGCCAGTAGTAGGAGCGGGGAGGGCAGCAGGCCTCGCAGAGGTCTCCATTGACTGGACTGGAAATAGCGGTGTATGTAAAACAGACTGTGCGAGATGCGAAGGCCCATGTTTAGGCAGTTTGCCAGTATGAAGCCCACACCGCCAGCCCACCACGTCAGCATGTAGGACAGGAGCAGGAAAGACACCGACAGAGCCAGCATCACAAAGTTGTACCTGGAGACAACACACGTACACAGTGTTAACAGACAGGCTACATGATGTGTAATGACTCGATGTACATTACTTACTTGTCAACCTCTTCTTTGCTCATGGCAGCAAACACAAAGCACTCTGTCACACCATTTACAGCGAGCAGGAGAACATAGCAGCTATACCATCGCAGCAAAGTGGGCCCTTTAACAAAAAAAACAAAAACAAACACACAGCAGTGACTTGAGAACAGTGAGCAAAGCAGGATTTGTCACATATACACAAAACAACCAAAGAATTCCTTCATTTTATGATCAAGCCAGGTCACTAACGTTCTCCACCTCCTTCTTTTAAATGTTCCCTGTATCTGTATTTTTAAAGGAAATTAAAGTTCATTGTCAACTTTTGCTCAGTTTCAATTATTGTTCTGATCTGCTGGTTCAGAAATCTGAAGGTAAGAAGCAAACCAAAGCTACAGAGAGTGGTGAACACCTGCTCTAAGGTAAAAGGGGTGTCCCAGCTCAGTCTCATCACTCTGTACAACAAGCACCTGGTGAAAAAGGCCACCTCCATCTTGGCTGACGCATCCCACCCCTTGCACCAGGAGGTCCCGCTTCTGCCCTCTGGGTGGAGGTTTAGGGTTCTGAGGTCATTGCAGTCATTAGCCATAGACTGTGGTCTTCCTCTTACTGTTGCACTTGTATATCCCACTACTTGCTTTTTTACACTACTTCACTTACTTTATAGAGTCTTTGTTTGTTACCACGTTGTTGTTGATAGTGTTTTTATTGTAATTGTGTGCTGAGTATGTTTCTTTGATGTTTGTTGTTTTTCTTTTATGCAGCACCAGAATTGCCCCTGGGGACAATAAAAATGTATTTTATTGTACTGATCTTTTTATTTTGGCTTTTGATTTGGAGTAATGTTATAGCCTCAGTTCTTAAGTTTCAGTCATTGATTTTACATTATGTTCAACCCTGGTGCTTATTATATTCTCCTTTTTTTATTTTAACTCTTACTTATTTATTCATTTTATCTGCACTGTTTCAATTTTGCTATTTGAAGCACTTTGGGCTGCATGTTTGTGTGAAAAAAGCTTTATAAATAAAGTTGAGTTGGAGTTGGTTGTGATTGTTACCTGCCCCAACGCTAAGCAGAGAGCCGCCATAAATGTCCAGAGCCAAGTGAGAGTAGGCGTAACCAAACACTGAGATAATGAGTCCAATCACCAGCACCAGTTTCAGCAGACACTCCAGGACCTCTGCTGCCATGGCAGCGTCTTCCTGTAAACAAAACCCACAACATGAAGTAGAACCAACAACTCCTTTTCTAGCCATTAACAAAGACTTCTTTGTGTTTACATCCAGACTCACACCTGTATCTGACTTTTGACATCACGTCCTCGCCTCAGCACTTTGGCAAAGAAGATGTAGAAGCTTTCCTCGATGGGTAGGAAGATGAAGCGAGCCACCATGGAGCCCAGATTACTGACAATATCATAAACTCCCTGGTCTCCGAAGCTGAGGACGTTCAAGAAGGTCATGACGTACCGCTCACCCTCTGTCAGGATCTGTTTCAGGAAGGACTGCTTGAAGAAGCTCCATGTGAGCCGCGCCAGACTCCAATCAAACAGCGGCTATAAACAGAGCAACAGATGGAGATCATTAGTCCTGTATTATAACAGTTTATCTTGTAAGTTTGATTTTGTAAAGACAGTTTGTGAATAATAAATAGTAGTATATTGTCCTGCCCTACTACCTCTCCATGAACTCTACGGGGCAAGAGATCTCCAACACTGTGCAGAGGAAAATCCACCCTGGCTGCCTCTTTAGAGCCCACGAAACGGACGAAGTAAACAACGTAGCACAGCACCAGGAATACTGTGTATGCCAACTATGAAAAGAAAATAGCTTAAAATCATTACAAACAGAAACAACTACAAAAATAATGCATAAGACTTCAGCTCATTTCTTACATCAGCAGCAGAGAAGACGTAAAGGCCCCATTCACGTGCAACCACTATCAGCACTACGGTCAAACTGCCCTTAGCGAGCATTCCCAAGCTCTCGGCAACCACCTTGAGTCGAAGAAACATGTGAGCTTGAGCCAGGACGTAGAGAGGCTCAGACAGGAGCTCCAGCACTGCTGACAAGGCAAATAACACCACAGCAGGGCCGTAGTAAGGGACAGTCTGGGGGTCTGGGACCTCCAGGAGCCACAGCCACACGCTGATCAGCACAACAGCCCAAAACACACCCAGAGGCAACCTGAGAGGTACGAAAGACAAAGATAAGACACACAGGAAAATGTACAAGCTGAATATAAAGATTGAATAAACTCACATCAGCCATAGCAGGTTGATAACTTGTCTCCAGCTGTGGTTCGTCCCAGCTACCCCACTCAGACAGGCCCTCCGGAAAGCTTCTCTGGATAAAAACACTAATGTGGAGTACAGTAGTGTCAGCCTGTATAACAAAAACACACACACATTCACTTTGCAGCAGCTGGTGCAGAGAAATGTGCTGGCATTGTGTTATATCTCATTCTGGTTGGTGGCACGTTCTTCTGTCTCAACACCTGTCAACTTTACCTGACGTTGACCACTCCTATCAGCTCTTTGGACACAAACCGCAGTGTGAATGCATTCAGCAAGAAGGTGAAGACACGGAACATCACCTGAGATTAAAACAAAATGAAAATTATGACAGTTAAGCTTTACAACAGTGGCCTGGTGTGGTATTATGGCTCCACTGTGTGTGCTCGTGTACCTGTATAAGCACATTATAGGATACTAGAGTGGTAGCACTCTTCAGCACATCCTGAGAACTCATTTGGGACTTCTTCTGACTCGCCTGAGATCACTCTCAAACGAAAATTTGACAAACTTTTCGTTTCTTTCTACGTAGCAAAAACATTATGGAGCCATTTTGTTAAATAACCGTCAGTGTGGCTGCTGAAAAAACGACGACAATAGCGCCTAATTCCTAATAAACACGTGTGCCATTACATTTGTTGAGCAGCTGTAAAAGCTAGACGGCTAGAGCTAAACGCAGCAGTAGTAGTAACACTTCCGTATACATTGTACACGTACGTAAGCACGTTACGCGGTGGCGTCACAGAGCGTGACGTTCATAGCGGTGCCGCTAGAGGGCGCAGCCAGCCTTCTGATAATCAATGGGAGGTGGCTGCTCATAGAGGCTGTATTCATTCATTGTCCTATGTTCTTTTCTTTTATGCTTGATTTGTTGCTTTTCATGGACATGAACTGTGGAATGGGCAATTTTATTTGAATTTTATTTTTAATGATTATTCATGCATTTATTGTAACTTATTTTATTTTTTGTCTATTTTAATACCACTGTGTTGTTGTTGATGATGAGGGGAAGTGTGGGTGTGGTTGTTTGTTGTTTTTTTATGAGCTGCTGGACAGTTGATTTCCCCTCGGAGATTAATTAAGTTCTTTCTATTCTCATCTATGTGATTTTCAAATGATCATTTTTCAACGTTATATAATGAAATATGCATATGAACATTGTATTGTTTTATTTGGGAAAAAAGCGTGTATATATTATTTTGTCACACAGATCTCAAAGTCTATATTAAAACTTTATCATAACTAACATAGTTCAAGTAAAAATAATGTAATCTATTACACCAGCTTTTATGTAAAGCCCCCCTTCCTTTTTTGTTGCTTATTTTCTATGTCTATTTATGTTAATTAAAACAATGTTCCTACTAACCCTTGAAAACCTGTCTCTAACTGCATTTATTTTTATCTCCTAAAAATGTCATGCCAATCATAAGCACCTCTGCATCACTGTAAGGCCAATTTGCTAATTAATTTTATTGTGGTTTATGTCCCTGAGCAGGTAACAAAGTCTATCCTACCCAAACAGAGCATACAAAACTGTCTTCTGTAAGGTATATTGATCTTGAGAGGACCAGTCTATGATAGGTCATCGAAGGATACTGATTTTTTAATTTAATGTGGTCTGGTTTATCTATGGATCCACAAAATCCATTGAACTCAAGGGATTGTGTTAAAGTGAGAATAGTTATTTACAAAATGGTCCCAAGATGTTGCAAACCAATACAGACAAAAGCATATAAAAATACACAATGAATCACTTTAAAACACAAAAATAAATCAGTACAGTACAAATTATCCCAAAATGAATATTCATATGAGAATATTTAAATACAACAGTATAAAAAACCCTTTATCAGTGACTAGTCATCTTGCACCACAGATAAGCCCTGACCTGACTTAACCTTCTTAAATTCCTTTTTTATAAAATGAGAACAATCTAAACTGCAGATGTTTTTTTTAACAGGACATCAGACTTGGGAGTTCATGGTTTTTTAATCAGATGTAAAAGATGGAGACAGTAAAAAAAAGTACATCCTTAGAGAACCAATATACATGTTACAACAATATACATATACATTTTCTATATACAGCGTTTCAGTATCTTCCCACACACTCTTTGAAGCCTCGTACCTTTACTTCACCCTTTGCATCCACCCGTCCACAGACAGGACATTTCAATTCAGCTGAGAGCAGCTGTCACTGTTTACATTTGTTCTTTACATGGCACAGGAGTCAATCACTGTAAGTTCTTTGTCATCATAATTCATCCAGTCAAAGGCAAGATTTCAGATGTTTCAACGACAGATAACATTCATTATTAATCTATATTTAAAGATGAACGAGGGTTTTTGTTGGTCTGAGGTTTGTTTACATGCAGTCGACTCACTCACACAAACACTACATTTGAAGTAAACAGATTATTCCTATAGGTTTCCTTCCCTCTTCATACTTTTTCATCCCCAGTTGGGTTAAATTAAATGTTACAAAAAGTGACAAAATGGCTGCGGATGATCGCGGCGACGTCGAGTGGAATGTAAGGATTTTCAACCTCCCGCTCTAATATTATTACTCATACAGGCCTTCACAACCTAGACAAATAATAAGCATGCACGCAAACACAATAACGTCAATATGTACAGTACAAGGGCACGTTTCTACTCTTATCGTTTCTACACGTAGCCAAGGAGAATAGTTTGTGCTTAAAATAAGGTCACACAAATACTGATTGTGGAACAGCTCACTCATGTGCAAGTTTAACGATGTGACAGAATAAGGGAACTGTCCGTCAGCAGTAGAGATGTAACCCTCATCTGACTGTCGTCACAACAGTCACTTTTCTAAAAGGTGCTCCATCTTAGGGTTGATGAAGGAAAAGCCAGCAAACGCCGTCTGATCCATGGAGTCTATGAAGTTCTTATCGCTGTAGGAGAGACGAGGCTTCTCACTGAGGAACTCCCGATCAAAGTTGCTGCAATCGTTCGGTGCTTTCTGTAATTGACAATGACGTTAAGATATCAAAATGTTGAACTTCGATACAGTACTAGTATGAAAAAAAAAAAAAAATATCACAAGTTCAATCACAATATCATAATATATCGATTCTTTGGACAACGATACTATATTTGCGGATATCACAAAGTCTGCCACGATACAGTTTCTGTTCAGTTCAATTCAGGCACCTGTAATTAATATGAGACAGTGTCAGAAAACATCCTCATTGTCTTTTTCCTGGCTGCTTGCCATTATCTGCCTGGTGCTAGGCTGCCAGCACTGTTTGACTGTTTACGAAGGAGGCGTGCTCGGCTGAAAACAGTGACACAGATGTGCCATGGGAATTTCAAAATAAAGGCATATCTTCAAGATGACAATTTGCATAGATGGTTTTCACTTTGCATTGATGACACTGGGGATAGATATAGATATATCCATATATATCCAGATCAATGCGTCGTTATACCCCTATTTAATACCATGGCAGAGAAACAAAAAAGACCTCTGCAAACAAAATAGGATCATTTTTTTTGTTTTTACTACTTATCTGCACACAGTGGTGGTGCAGAAAAGTCACTGAACAAATACTAACACATTTTTAATGATGTTACTAGTAATTACAACTTGAAAATCCGATTGGGGGATCTGGTTTTATTATAGTTTCGCTACATTCAAGCCTGCCAAATGTATAATTAATGGAGACTGCATGGTATTAAACACATGGTACCGGAAAAAGTATTGAGGTATCAATACTTTTGACAACCTCAAGTGACAACAAACCTATCTCAGCAGAATGGTAAAAAAAAAAAAGAGGGAATCGTCACAGCCAGTGATCAATATTTTTTTTCATAATTTAATCCTCTGTGACTTTTACATTGGGCTTACCACTTTTGGTTTGAAGGGGGGCTCAATCTCTCTCCTCTCCAAAGCCTGCCAATTGATGGTCTTGAAGAACGGGTGTAAACGGATATTACCCACGATTCCTAGCCTGCGAGTAGGGTCTCTCTCAAACAACTGCAGGGAAATAAAGTCAGTAAGTAAGAAATGTGCTCCATTACATCTCAAAACAGCTCCTTATCAGTTACATACATTTGCATTATTTCACTGAATTTGACTGCATCAACCCAGGAGCTGTAGAACTCTCTCATCCTGTACAAGAGCATGTGATCCTTAAAATTAAACTATTAAATAACCAAACATGGAAACACCAGACTTTTCAGAAAACGGAAATGGAGCTCTATGACAGATGTATTTTGTATAACAGGTATGGTACAGACCCGCTCGAGCAGGTCTTTGCACTCCTTGTTGATCCAGCGAGGATAGTGGGGAGTGTCCATGCGGATGGACTCAAACAGCTCATCCTCATCGTCTCCATGGAAAGGCGACTGACCGACCAGCATTTCATACAGCAACACCCCAAATGACCACCAGTCAACGGAGAATGAGTATTTCTGTCCCAGCAGAATCTGAGTTCAGACACAATATATAAATGAGAATTATTCTGGACGGACACAAACACGTGTTTGCATGCCGAACAATAAAAGCAAATCAGCTGCACATTTGAATATTCCAAAACAAGAAAGCATCTCTGAATAAACGACACTATACCTCTGGAGCAATATAGTCAGGAGTGCCGCAGAATGTTGTAGCACGATTCTCTCCAAACACATTCTCCTTGCACATGCCGAAGTCGGCGATCTTTATGTGTCCCTCATGATCCAGCATCACGTTGTCTAACTTAAGATCTCTGGAAACAGAATAATCACAGCGGGATTGGAAATGAGCACAGTTTCAAAGATGATAGATGAATGTGCCATTCTAGGTTTTGATCTCACAATTTTGTGTTTATTAGAATTAAGTCAGAATGCCACTTATTGTTTGCACGTTTTAAATGGACTGTTGAGGATTTATTATGTGAGAGAAAAAAAGACAGGCTAAGAAGTTTTGCCAGATGGACTGTGAAATCTTGAATGCTCACTGCCTTACAACACAAATCTCATCATTCACCGCTTATTAAGTGTTTATAAGAACCAAGCAAGTGGATCTGCATGTCTTAATTGTCTTTTTGCACTTACTTACTGCTGTCATATTGATAACAATTTTAGTTTTTATTTCCAGGCAGCCACTGGGTTCAGATCATTTCACTACGGCTTGAAAAACTGAAGATCTGAAACTTGCATGAGATAGGTAAACCATCGACGTTTAGTCCACTGTTTATGTGTAATGTGGTGTAAGATATTATTATTTTTACATGGCTATACAATCACAAGCAGTTCTACTATTACTGAGATTTTAGAGGCAGGTTTTTACTGCAAGAAATGAACAAATTCACAGTTTACTCAACAGACCTGCTCGCAACTGCATTACCACACAATGGTAATGAAACTTTCAGAAAACAAAGTGTCAAAATGCGTGGGATTACCTAACCAAGCAAGTTTCAAGTGTCATCAAGTTCATTTTCACATTGCACTTGCAATGTGTCTGTGTCTTTATTTTGCAGAAGATAGGAAAATAGTCCAATATGGTCAGCTGTGTTGTACAGAATATGGTACAACATGAACAATTACCACCAGTATGGTCATTTAGTGTATGCACTGCTCATCCAGGTGTAACTTATATTTTTGCTCTGACCTGTAGATGATCCCTTTTGTATGTAAGAACTGAAGCCCACAAATGATCTCAGCGG